AGAGTATTTGGACGAACAACTAAAGTTAGAGACAAGATTTAAAATGGCCTTGACAATAAAAGGGAAGTTAGGGTTTCATTGTATAATACCAATTACAAAAAAAAATTAGAGCAAAGCATTTTTCTTTACAAGAAGATTTATTTGAGGTTAAAATTATGAAATAAATATATGGTTATAGTTAATATACATATTTATTATTTAGAGTTGTTACAAGGTATACATTATTAGTTATTAATAACTTATTACTAATAACTTATTAGCTATAGTTGTGTGCTTAATTATATAGATATCATAGTTACAAGATATACCTTTTAATTAACTATAGATATTATTAATAATTTATTATGTATAGTTTTGCGATTAAGGTATAGTTATTACTTATATTATATACACTCAAAAAAAGGTACAAAATATTAATAAATTTGTTTATTAAAATTGGTAAACTGTACAATATTCATTAATGTTATGAAATATTTTATTGCATTAATAAAGAATACATAGATACAATGAATTTTACTTTGTATTACAAAGTTTGTAATGTAATATTTTTATTATATATATGTATATATGTATATATGTATATATGTATATATGTATATATGTATATATGTATATATGTATATATGTATATATGTATATATGTATATATGTATATATGTATATATGTATATATGTATATATGTATATATGTATATATTAACGCACATCGTTTATTGGACAATTTTTTTGAGTGTATACTGTATAACTTGGATGATTTTTAATCAAAAACATAGAAAATATGTATAATAGGCATTTTTCATTTTTTTACATATAAAAATATGTTGATATTAAACAATGTTGACTATTACTAATTCAATAAAAGTATTTACGCCTGATTTGTTTTTATTTAAAAAATGTTGGTCTTATGTATTGGGAAATAAATTTACTAATTAATTGGAGTTTGTATTATTTAAAATTTAATTTATTTAAAATTATTGAAAAACTTTAAAATCAGAATTAATTTACAAAAAGCGATGGTATTTTTTTAAAACGATGTATGAGTTTACACTATCCTAAATGTGTTAGCGTTTCAAAGATGTCTGATTAGGGGGTGTCCATTAATTACGTGAGTCAATTTTAGCGATTTTATGACCTCCTACCCCCTTGCTGAGATGTCGTAAGATTTGGCTCAACCCCCTCCCCCTAATCTCACGTGAGATTTTAAAAAATGCTTATTTTTAATGTTTATACGTTAAACTGCTTGATTCTGTTGGATTTATTAAAAAAAAATACTTTGTTAAAAATTACGTGATATTTGCCGAGACCCCCCTCTCCCTTACGTGAGAATTAATGAGATTTGGCTTGACCCCCTCCCTCCCCTAAACGCCTCACGTAATTAATGGATGCCCCCTTAAAGCTTTTACCTGTCACGCGTTCGAAAATATTTAATATCTTCCGATCCAAACAAGTCTCCATTTTTCTGAAAAATTCATTTTGTAGAGTAATAAATAGTGCATAGAACAGTATTTTTTTCATTTTTTTTCATAGAGGGGGCAAACACAAAAAATCTGTTTATACAAAAAAAAATATTTTTTTCATATAATAAACAAAACACAAACTTTTTAAATATTTATCTAAAAAGACTATGTAATACAGTTTAAAATAAAAAAAGGTACAAAATATTAATAAATTTGTTTATTAAAATTGGTAAACTGTACAATATTCATTAATGTTATGAAATATTTTATTGCATTAATAAAGAATACATAGATACAATGAATTTTACTTTGTATTACAAAGTTTGTAATGTAATATTTTCGGAGGGGACTTTAAGCCGTCGGTCCGTTCCTACCCCTAACCCGCACAAGTCATTCAGTTGGCTTATGGGACATCTTAGTTTGGATGTAAGGGTGGAACTAAAAGAGCACTTTATAACTTTATAACTTTATTATATATATGTATATATGTATATATGTATATATGTATATATTAACGCACATCGTTTATTGGACAATTTTTTTGAGTGTATACTGTATAACTTGGGTGATTTTTAATCAAAAACATAGAAAATATGTATAATAGGCATTTTTCATTTTTTTACATATAAAAATATGTTGATATTAAACAATGTTGACTATTACTAATTCAATAAAAGTATTTACGCCTGATTTGTTTTTATTTAAAAAATGTTGGTCTTATGTATTGGGAAATAAATTTACTAATTAATTGGAGTTTGTATTATTTAAAATTTAATTTATTTAAAATTATTGAAAAACTTTAAAATCAGAATTAATTTACAAAAAGCGATGGTATTTTTTTAAAACGATGTATGAGTTTACACTATCCTAAATGTGTTAGCGTTTCAAAGATGTCTGATTAGGGGGTGTCCATTAATTACGTGAGTCAATTTTAGCGATTTTATGACCCCCTACCCCCTTGCTGAGATGTCGTAAGATTTGGCTCAACCCCCTCCCCCTAATCTCACGTGAGATTTTAAAAAATGCTAATTTTTAATGTTTATACGTTAAACTGCTTGATTCTGTTGGATTTATTAAAAAAAATACTTTGTTAAAAATTACGTGATATTTGCCGAGACCCCCCCTCTCCCTTACGTGAGAATTAATGAGATTTGGCTTGACCCCCTCCCTCCCCTAAACGCCTCACGTAATTAATGGATGCCCCCTTAAAGCTTTTACCTGTCACGCGCTCGAAAATATTTAATATCTTCCGATCTAAACAAGTCTCCATTTTTCTGAAAAATTCATTTTGTAGAGTAATAAATAGTGCATAGAACAGTATTTTTTTCATTTTTTTTCATAGAGGGGGCAAACACAAAAAATCTTTTTATACAAAAAAAAATATTTTTTTCATATAATAAACAAAACACAAACTTTTTAAATATTTATCTAAAAAGACTATGTAATACGGTTTAAAATAAAAAAAGGTACAAAATATTAATAAATTTGTTTATTAAAATTGGTAAACTGTACAATATTCATTAATGTTATGAAATATTTTATTGCATTAATAAAGAATACATAGATACAATGAATTTTACTTTGTATTACAAAGTTTGTAATGTAATATTTTTATTATATATATGTATAAATGTATATATGTATATATTAACGCACATCGTTTATTGGACAATTTTTTTGAGTGTATACTGTATAACTTGGGTGATTTTTAATCAAAAACATAGAAAATATGTATAATAGGCATTTTTCATTTTTTTACATATAAAAATATGTTGATATTAAACAATGTTGACTATTACTAATTCAATAAAAGTATTTACGCCTGATTTGTTTTTATTTAAAAAATGTTGGTCTTATGTATTGGGAAATAAATTTACTAATTAATTGGAGTTTGTATTATTTAAAATTTAATTTATTTAAAATTATTGAAAAACTTTAAAATCAGAATTAATTTACAAAAAGCGATGGTATTTTTTTAAAACGATGTATGAGTTTACACTATCCTAAATGTGTTAGCGTTTCAAAGATGTCTGATTAGGGGGTGTCCATTAATTACGTGAGTCAATTTTAGCGATTTTATGACCCCCTACCCCCTTGCTGAGATGTCGTAAGATTTGGCTCAACCCCCTCCCCCTAATCTCACGTGAGATTTTAAAAAATGCTAATTTTTAATGTTTATACGTTAAACTGCTTGATTCTGTTGGATTTATTAAAAAAAATACTTTGTTAAAAATTACGTGATATTTGCCGAGACCCCCCCTCTCCCTTACGTGAGAATTAATGAGATTTGGCTTGACCCCCTTCCTCCCCTAAACGCCTCACGTAATTAATGGATGCCCCCTTAAGGCTTTTACCTGTCACGCGCTCGAAAATATTTAATATCTTCCGATCCAAACAAGTCTCCATTTTTCTGAAAAATTCATTTTGTAGAGTAATAAATAGTGCATAGAACAGTATTTTTTTCATTTTTTTTCATAGAGGGGGCAAACACAAAAAATCTGTTTATACAAAAAAAAATTTTTTTTTTCATATAATAAACAAAACACAAACTTTTTAAATATTTATCTAAAAAGACTATGTAATACGGTTTAAAATAAAAAAAAATGAAATCGATCCGATCAGTAGAACCGGAGATAATGAATTTTAAGTACAAAAGAATTCAACATTTTTTGAAATTTTATCAAAAGTTTAAATCAATATATCTTTGGAAAAATAAATTTTCTGCAAAAATTCCGATATAGGGGTCGGCTAAATTTATGAAAAGATGCTGTAAAAAAAATGAAGTCATTTTAAAAATTTGAAAAAATATGTTTTCTGTAATCCGTACGATTTGTAAAAGAATGTCTCATTTAGGAAATGTAATTACCATAAAAAAGAGCAATCGTAGAAAGTTTACAATGAAATCTTTGAAAAATATGGTCACTTCCGGTCCAGAAATGCTGACAAAGAGATTTTTTTTAATTTCTAAAAACGCAGATGTGCGAAGCGTTTTTAAAAACGGCCGTGGCGGAAAAATTCTAGAAAAAAATGTAGATTTTTTTATGAAAAACTCGTATGCGTACATTCCAAATATATAATATAAAAATGGTACCTAAACTTTAACTCTAACCTAAGCGGTAGGTATATGTCGTAGTTCGAACTGGTTACACAGTTTTATATTATAATATTACCTAATTAATCGGTACAGTAAAGGAGTTTTGAATTTTCCAAATAAAGGGTGTAATAATAACAACAACAAAATATGTTTTTTAAACCAATTCTTTTAGTATATAAAACACTTTTAAAGTATTATTATATATAATAATAATAATAATAATAATAATAATAATAATAATAATAATAATAATAATAATAATAATAATAATAATAATAATAATAATAATAATAATAATAATAATAATAATAATGGTAATCATAATAATTTAAAAAACATTGTAATGGTAAAAATAAAACCATCATTTATTCATGGTTAAGTAAAACTAAATCGAATGTCTCAGCAAAAAAATCCTATAATCCTCGCTGTAACAAATCTTTCATATAAAAATGCTGTGGCCTACCAGTAATCCTCCATTATCAGAATTATCAAATTACATGTCAGCGTACTATGGTCTGATTACTGATTGTTATCGCAAGGGCGGCAAAAGAGGTGGTAGGAACGGGAGTTTTGGGGTGGGAAAGAGTGTCATTAGGTATGTTATCTTTCCCTGGAGATATCTCACTTCGTCCGGAAAGTAGCGTTTAACTGTCCTCCATGTTTAGTCATGAGCCAGATTCTTCAAAACGATACACCCACGATTTTAATACCGTACCCGAATCATGCTTTAATTTGTTGAGGTCGTTTGATGCCGTAACAACTTGCTTTTTGTTATAAACTTAAACACTGGAGTTTTATGTTTAATAAAAGTTGTCAAGTCTAATAATTTGTTTTATATGGCTTGGATATTTTTTAGGCGCGATCTATGTTATTTAATTAGTTACATGCTTTGAAAATTACAGTTTTATGCTTTTTGTTTAGTAAACTTTTGGCTTAAACTTTAACTGCTTTTTTAATTTCCAAAATTTCTATGCTTAGTCCTCGTTATCCTTAACTGCCAAATGCAAAAGTGTTTAAGTTTTATTTCGTTGAAAATTGTATAAGAAAACACCCTTCTAATCATAATATTTTTAGAATCTAATAAACACAAACTAAAACAACTCGTAAGCATAAAAATGTTTTTATACAAAAAGTTGGCGAAAATGAATCTAAAATCAATATCAATATCGTGTTATTATGAAATATTAACACAATTTTTGTTGTGGTAATGATATATATATTTCGTTCAAATTTTAATTTAATTGGCTTAGTGGCGGCGATTTTTTAAGGGGGTTTAAATGGTTAAAACTTTGTTAAATAAAGGAAATTAGTCAAAATTAAACTAATTAAACTAAATATAATAAAAAGTTGTATCAAAAGTTTTATGTGTTACCTTGATTCTGTAACAGCAGCGGCAAAATATACTGCTTTTACCTGGAGGCTTTTCACAAACAACAAGTTAATCACGAGCCCCGTCCAATATTAGTTGGCCTAGCCACAAGAAGCCACAAGAAAATATTTTAAATGTATTTTCCAAAACATAATTGTTAATTACTTACGAGCAGTGAGTACAATTTTTTTCAACAAATCAGTTATTATAATATGTTCCGTATTAATAAATGAACTTGACAGTTGTAGTAACTTCGTTGCCAAAAACTAAAAACAGAAAGAAAACTTAAAATAACTGACACGTCTGCCTCGAGACTTACAGCAACACTGACCTTTATTGTTATTAATGGGTTAATATTTTTTTTAAATCATACAATAATCTATTTGCAATTGCAATGACTGGTGTAATTTAAATATAAATAATGCCTAAGAAAAAATAGTAAAGGAGTATTTTCTCTGTCATAAAATTTATTTATTTAATAAACCAATATTTACAGTTCTGTATAATATTATAGAATATAAATCCATTAATTTTCTTAAAAAAATATTGAAGGTCTATGAAACAAGTCTGCATTTATTGCAGATCTTTATATATTTCGAATATGACCGATAATTAAAAACAGCTTACTAATAGTTACTATATCTGCACCAACAATCCATGAAATAATATTTTATGCACTGAAGCATGCATATATATATGCACTATAGTGCCAACCAAACAAAGACACATAAAGATCAGCTGTTTCTGTGCATAATTATATTTATTAAACTTTTTCTTGCTTAGCGAATAGAAAAGTAATAAATAAATTAAATAACTCTTTCTTTTACAAAATTCAGAGGAATTCTGAAAGGCAAAATTTTTGTGCCTCTATTTAAAATTATTTCATTCGAAAATTGGCTTTTTATGCATAAACCCAGTATGGTTACCGCTCGTCCCAGATCGTCTCCGAAAAATATTGACCGATAATTCCGTTAAATCCGAAAGTGGCCCAAAACGTTGCCTTTTATAAATGTATAAGGTCTTCATGTTTTTCATGCGGATTTTATTATACCAATATTGCAAATTTTGTTATTTACATAGCCCTGGAGGTAAAAATATGCATCATTGTGAAATATAATGCGGAATACATACTTTGCTTGCAAAAGATTGTGAGGGACGTCATGCATTTAGCCGACATTGTCCCTTATAAATACTTTTATAAAAACTGCATTTTATTTTATTTTGGGAATTATTAAATTATTTTTAAAGTAAAAAAGTAATTTTAGTTTGAAATCGGAAATTTACCACCCGTCACCCTTTATAATAATATACTTATAATAATTTTTACATTAAATACATACCTGTTCATTATTTGCCTATTATTACATTTTAAGTACCTACATAATATGTTATATTCTTTCCATTACAATGTAGCTTAAAAAGCTTTCATCAAATAATATTTATTTATTTTATAAGGCTGAGAAGTGGGTCTTTTTGTGCTAAATTGAGAAATTCACAAAAAGACACGTTTCAGCCGAATGACATACAACATTTTATCTTGAAGGCACAGTTTTATTTGTTAAATATACTTTCAATTACAATAACAATAATTATTATTAAAATAATAATTATTAAAAGTTCAATTACAATAACAATAATTATTATTAAAATAATAATTATTATAATTATTAAAAGTTGAAAAGGTTAAATAAATTTTTTGATTTGTCCTAAACAGTTTTTTTTACTCCTATTATGGAATATGACCGTTCTAATATCACTTTTATCTATGGAATGACATATATTTTGTAAAGTGTTACAGAAAGAAATATTCTATCATCTGATGACAGAATAAACACTCGTGGCGACATCTCTGTTTTTAATATCTAACAAATTTTATACCGATCCAACCTCACTTTCTTCCAATTAAATTATTTGTCTATGGTATTTTTTGAAAACGTAGAAAAAGTATAGTCTGAAACACGTTTGGAATTGGATATTCCCCTCTCGTGAAACCGTCAAACTCGCCTTCGGCTCGTGTGACAAACTTTTCACTCGAGCGGAATATGCCTTATTGCAAACTTGTTACAGAATATACTATTCTAGGATGTAAAAAACTTCACCTGATTGGAATAAATTATTTTTACAGCCTAGGAGATAATCAAATACTTTGGTAGTAAGCGTTGACAATAATAAAGCCTAAATTATAGAAAAATAATATGTTAAAATAAATATTTGCAAATGCATAATATTTAAAAGCTTAAATATCCTAGTAAAATATACGCCGTTTAAGGTTATGTTTAAATTTTAATCGTTGGGCCCCTCAATCCCATATACAAAACAGCGAAATTTTTGACCAACCATTAACTTAAAATAAAATATAATTTCTCCTCTCTCTTAAAATGAAATTGTCAAAATTCTACTATTTGAATTAGTACCAGCATTTTTTACTAATAAAATAGTTTTCACTTTTAAATAGTTATTTTTACTACGTAAATAGATATGTTTGAATAATTTAAGGTTGGTCACCATCTTTGACTATTTCTGAGAGTTATGAGTAACTAATTTCCTTTGCGGCCAACAACGAAGTATTATTTGAATTAAATGCATGTAGGCCCATAAAAACAAAGATGTAAAAAGTTTAGCTCAAAACAGCAACACAAATATATTTCTGTTATTATAATTATATTTTATATATATATATTATTATAATATATGCATCTTAATTCAACTTTAAAATATTATGAACAAAAGAGCCATTTTCAGACGGTCATTTACTTACAACATCTATACGCTATACAATTTCCTACCGGAATCATATAAACTCTGCAAAATTCAATCTTTAAAGTATCACTATAAAAACTTACTTTTGAAAGAATAAAAAGAGAAAAAGATTTTTTTTCCTTCTATGTATACCTTATAAGGTTACCAAAGATTCAATTGTACCAAGTTCTGCAAAAACAGTAGTTGTCGTTAAAAAAAGAGATTATGCTATAAAAAGTGCCACCAAAGTTCTTCTTGTTCAAATAAATAAATCGTTTATTGTTATAACATGATAAGTAACTTTTTTCAAACTCCAGAAACTCAAAACATGAACTGAAAAGTTTGCAAAAAGTCACCTAGCTTGTTTTAAAAATAATTATAATTATATATTTATAAACGAGTTTATTGTATTAATAAATAAATTTTATATGTAATAAATTCTTAATATCTTATTAATAGTATATATTATAGAATAGTAAGTAAATTTTGCTGAAATAAATAAATTTTAGAATAACTTTCCAGTATTTTTCCCACATCACCCGCAAAATACCCGGCAATTCTTCTTGCAGCAATTTTTCTTGCCATCAAGTTTTTAAGGCCGTTTTGCATGTTGCTTTACAGTCAGCAATGGCAAAACAACTTGCTGTTTATAACCGTGCTACCAACCGAAGAAAAATATACGATTTTGTAAACACTAAGTTTATTTGTTATTTAGTAGAGATATTTAAAAATTAATGTGTAAAATGGATAATAGAACTTTGAACACAATGCCAATCATAAAACAAATTACCTTAAACTGTTTAAGTCAAACAGCGTCTCTCTAGGGAATTTGTAGTAGGGTTGGTAATATAAAAGTTACCAGATTTCACCGCAGAATTGCCGTAAAACGGCAATAAAAATCCACCTGGACCGATTTTCGGCAATTGCAAGAGTTTCGTCGAAATGTCTCTACCGCGAATGCCTACGGATATTTTCATTTCAATTGCCGAAAGAATTGCCGGCTGTAATACGGCCTTTAGAAAATATGCGGAATGGCTACTTAAAAATCTTATTGTTAGGTAAAATGATTAAGCTCTACTAAATTTTATATAAAACTTCCCTATTTATATTTCGAAATAATACAATGTGGCACTAACAAATGCTGTTATAATTAATAAATATACTGTAGCGAGTACCCGCTACGTAAGTTGGGAATGTCTGTGGTGACTTATCGGCGACAACCAAGAGGGAAGCCAAAAGTGATCCATTTTTGCTCCTTGCACTGGAAATAATTATGATCAAATAGACGATGCTAGTGCTCATTCATAATGGACGTAACCATAAGATGTACATAAAACGTAAACATAATATCACCATAATTTGTACGTAACGATGAGCTGTGTTTATAATGAACGTATGCCTTATGTATATATTAATAAGGCGCGCATGTCAAAGTTCACTAAAATGATAGGATTGAAAGCTTTCGTCTAATTATTATGTCTTAAAACTATTAGTGTTATCATAACCTTAGTGTAATAAGCGATATATATGTAGAATTACTTCTTCTTTTGTTGGCAAAGAGAAGAAGTTTGCCCACAACCGAAAAGAAGCAACGGAAACCTCGTTGGTGGAGTGTAAGACCAGTGAATATATTCTATAGGGGCAGAGAAAAAAAGGGCGAATTTGGTCGAATAATACTCAAACTAAAATTTCACGAGGAATGGTTCTTTAGATACACTAGAATATACTTTAAAAACATCTGCCATCTGTTTGCATGGCAGCCTGATTGCTACCAACAATGTTCTAGTGAAATCATGAAAATTACTAAAATTCACACATAGAAACGCAAAGTTGAATTCATTTCAACTTTACGTATTTTGTACGGTCGTGCATAAGATCTTATGTTCGAACGTTTTGTTAATATTCAACTTTACGTGTTGCGTATTTCTTACGGACATCTTATGGTTACGTCCATTATGAATGAGCACTTATTCTTTCCAGTGGTAAAAAAGTTCGGTATGGTGTCACTTAAGAAGAACAACAAGATCTATTCAAGGTTTTAGCTGATTATTCATTGGCACAAGATCTCAGGATGTCCAGGGAAATAGCGGTCAACTTAAAAAAAAAGTTTGGATAAGTTAGCGAATTGCGAAAGCAGAATCCCAAAGTTGGAGAGGAACATGAAATAGTGGATGACGAGCAGATAGGCAACAGAAGCATCTTTTATCCGGTATCAAAGCAGCTCTCCTATCGGAAGCCAAACTACCTTGAAGTATGCCTTAAAAAAATTGAGGGATACCCTTTTGTCCAAGGCATCATGAACCTGGCGATACCGAAGCTTGCTTGTGAACGGTTTAGACCAAAGAATAATTAAATAAATGCTGGAATTTATCTTCCGATTTAGTGGCCTTAATCATACTCTATAAAATGAATTAGTCAAAAATGATTAATTGTCATAGCGAAAAAGCAGCCACTAATAATTCTCGTCAATAGCAATTTCTATCCCGAACATTTAGCAGTCAATTTCCATGTAAAATTGTCCCCTAAATCTGAAAATTTTGTCAAAAGTTATAAAAAGTATAAAGTATAAAGTTTTTGAGAAATAGTCAATTTTCCATATAATATGGAATTGACTATATCTCAAAAACTGCTCTACTTTCATAACTTTTGACGGTATTTTCGGATTCAGGAGACAATTTTACATAAGAATTGGCTGTTCAATGTTGGGGATATCATGGTATCCCAAGCTTAACCACGGTATAAGTGAAATATCAGCCACTAGTTATAATGTAGTAACTAGTCATTTTTCATTAATATATTTTTAGAGAGTAGACGAACAATCGAAATGAAGATCCTAGACTTATATAGGAAGTCACAATGCAAGTTTGAATCCCTATGCCATACCATATAACACTTCGGACTTTTCGGGACGAAAATGTCTTAAGTCGGGGGAAATGTAGCGAGTATCCATCACGTAAGTTTGTAATGTTTGTGGTGACACATCGGCAGTGCCGGTTTAAGTTAGTTCGCCGCCCGGTTCTGGCACAAACACAACGCCCAATGCTTTAAAATATTACTTTTTTAAAAACATTTTTAAATTTTTAAGTCTTACTTTCTCACGTCAAGTGGAAGATTAGGTTGGTTAGGCTGGTAACTAACAGTAAACTTAGTATCCTATAAAATATAAAATGAGCCTTTATAAACCAATTATAAAAACTAATCAAAAGCACTAACTAAAAAATAAAACATTCTTTGGTTTATAACAATACTAAGTACTAAGAAAAACTAATTAAAAAATAAAAGTTTAATATTTTGTTTCATTAAACTAATAAAAACTAATCAAATAAAACATTATTCTTTGGTTTAAATAAATATTGAGAAATCCTAATACTAATAACCAAAAGGTTGTTTTCAAGTCTTTATAGTAGCAAAATGATCACGTAAAAAATCAAAGTTCTCAACTAAAAATGACAAAAGATGAGCATTTGTGCTTAAATCCATATTTTGTTTTTGGACTCCTTTATTGGTTTCATTAACCCTTTGCAAAACGTCTATCCAAAAAGTTAAAATTCCGTTTCCAATAAATCAAGTTTTTGATGGAGAAGCTGCTTCAACTCTAACAACATTTTTCTCATTTGTATCCGTTGTATCCGCCGACGCAGTGTCGCAATAATTTTTTTTCTAAATTCTAACGATTAGTATTTTTTTTTAAATTATGGGCGGTACGCGGTACCGCCCCAAAAATATTTACCGCCCGGTGCTATAGTCCCCAAAAAACCCCTGTTAAACCGGCACTGCACATCGGTGACGAGTCATCGCTTGTTTACGTCGCACAGTGTTTCAATTCTCGAAAATATCGGCAAAACCTAAAAAATTGACATTTTTTTTTCAGGTAAATTTTGAGTTAGATGGGTAGTTAATACCTGTCTCCCTCCTGTATTGGAAAAAATATATATAAAATACGTATATTTTATCTTGTACATCAGTTTAAACTTGACGCTTTCAGTTGAAGGTACTTTACACGCGATCGCTTCGGAAAATTGTTTATTGTTTAAAAGTGAATAACTTGTGTTTGGTGTGTCCGATTGTTATGCGGTTTGATGTAGTGTGATTTTCAAGGTATGTAAAATTCAGATATGTATTTGTTTTTCGTAGATTTTGCTTGTTCAACGGGTTTTTGGAATTGACAAGATCGGTCTGTTAAAATCGCAAACTTTGAATCGAGCTTTTAGAACAATGGAGCTACAATATTTTAATGAATTGTAATGCATCAGTTCAAGATCCTATCAATAAATTATCAAGCCATCAATAAATTATCTGCCCTAACTTGCCCCCGGCTTTTTAAAACTACATGTTCTTGGGCGCTCAGGCAAGGTTGTGGTAAAAAACCTCGCGATATAAGCCTATGTCGCGCTCGTATCTGTGTTTTTGCTTTACAAAATATAAGTTTTTTTTTATTTCTGGGTTGAGTTCATGACGTTTACTTGATTCACTAGGATTTATCTCAAAACGTTTATTACAACAGCGACACTTTCACTTGCGTAAATCGTTCGTGACTACTAAGATATTTATCACCGATTTTACATATTTAAGCCAACTCTTGTAGGAGCGTTAAAACAACTCCGCATGCGCATTGTAGTGTGTTAATGTCAAATTTGAATTGTGGCTATTTGTGTTGGCAATTTTTTTAGCGAATTAAGAAATCGTTGCTAAAATATTAAGTAAAAGAAATAATAAAAATTTAAAATACTTACGTATAAAATCTGTTATATTTAAATTTTATAAATAAATTTTGAAATTTGTCGATAAACTACAGTGAAATAAATATTGCACCACTTTAATTTGATTTATCTTTATTTGGGGGACCGGAGGCTAAAAAACTAACTTTTTTGCAAAATTTAATTCAAATTCTGCTTGCGCAGAACTTGTCATTATGAACTCATATAAATTTGGTTTGGGTCCCATGTCTAATAACTGATATATCGCGGTGTACCCAAATTCACCAGCCGCCACTGGTGATTAGAACATGTAAATATATGATTTTAAGATTATATTTCTGCTGGACGTTAAGATATTGTTTATATAAAATATACTTTTAAAATATATTACTATTCTATGAAAGGGTAATAAATAAAAAACTGACATAAATTTCGATAACAAAAAACGTCTGTAAAAGTTCGCATAAAACTACTTAACCTAAATTTAAAATGTCAGAAAATAAGGTTAAGATGTTAAGTCGTTCATGACGCAATAATATTATTAACTCTACTCAAGTAAAGCTTTATAAACACACCCCAGGACCAGCTACCTCGAGCATGAAGTACACTCGAAAGGAGATACTTGATTTGATCAAGGACAAACTTTGTTTACGCAATAATGAGTTGGTTTCAATTATACAACAAAATTTGTTTAATAAAACTGGCATTTCTGGAAAAATGTGAATTGGTTAATTTAAAAGTAATAATCAGCCAATGTACCACAAAGTGGCTAGAAGCTAAAAGAATGTACGACAGATTTTGTAATACTAATGAAGACTGGTTAAAAAAAACTACTAACATTTACGGTAATATTTTAATACTTTACTAATTATTTTAAAAATAAGCACTTGTACATAACATAGTTTTTAATTTCGTTATTTATTTTGCAGATTTATCCAATAAGCTGGGGTAAGCGGCCTGTATCTTTATCTGCATCGGACTCAGGCACACCAGGTACATCAGGTAGGCCTAGCACTTCATTTAAAGAAGGAAGTGAGAGAACAAAAAAACGTTAATCGGAAGCACTGCTTTTAACCCATAGCACCACGGAGTTGGCACATGCAACCCAATTACAGGATTACTAAAATCAGGTGCAATTGAAGCATCACATGTCGTGAGGGATGTAACCACGAAATCACCATCACAAGCGATAAAGTTCATATCGGCTATGAAGGTATCTGAAGTGGCATTGTCGTCTATTCTGGAATTTAAATTAACTGTAGCGGCATATTTAAATCAAAGAAAACTTGCGATACCGCACAATGCCCCGATATATCCATCGTATCACAAAGTTTTAGACGCCAAAAAGAGATGTTACCCTTCAGGAATAGGAGTAACCGAGACCAGTGCAGAGGTGAAATTACAAGAACTTTTAGACCATACGTCTGACAGAATTTTACTAGCACAAGAGGAAATAATTGACTCGTTAGATAAGGAAAATGTTGCTAAACTTACATTAATTGTAAAATGGGGTTGCGAGGGAAGTTCGGGATAAAGTAAATATAAAAAATGCTTTATTGACGATAGTGCTTCTGACGCGAGGTTTTTTCTTATATCGATAGTGCCATTGAGAGTTCTTTCCGCGAAAAGTGAAGTTCTAGTATGGAAAAATCCGTGACCTTCGTCTGCTCGTTACTGCAGACCCATAAAGATAAAATATGCACAAGAGACTAGAAAGATGACTTGCGCTGAAAAACAACGTATTGACGAGCAAATTAATTGTCTTGTTCCGTACAAGACATGGATAGCTGGTAAACCTATCACAGTAGAAAATGATCTTCACCATGATAGATGGTAAAGTATGCAATTCTGTATTAGGGACAACTTCGGCAATGAGGTGCTATTTGTACGGAGCCACCTCCAAAGACTTCAATAATCTGGAACTAATGCGTGTAAGAGAAATCGACAATTCATATTTGTGTTTTGACATTTCATCCTTGCAAGCCTGGATTCGCTTTTTTGATTGTTGTTTACATATAGGTTGTAAGTTGGACATTTAGCAGTGGCAAGCCCGAGAAACGGAAACTAAAGAGATAATTGCACAAAAGAAAAAATCCATTTAGGATGGTTTTAAGGCCAAATTATCTCTAAAAGTTGACGTTCCGAAGCAGGGATGCGGAAGCTCAAACGATGGAAATACAGTCAGGCGTTTTTTTAAAGCTGCGGATATTTTTGCTCAAATTCTGGGTGTCGATGTTGAATTGATTAGACGGTTCCATGTCATCTTACAAGTACTCTCTTGCGACTTCTCCGTTGACGTACCAGCTTTTAAAAGTTACTCTATAACGACAGCAGAATTTGTTGTGAAGAAATATCCATGGTTTCCCATGCCGACAACTGTGCATAAAATACTTATTCACGGACCTCAAATAATGGATGCGATTGAGCTTCCTATTAGAGAATTATCAGAATAAGCAGAGTAAGCTAGAAATAAGGATTTTAAGAAATACAGAGAGAACTTCTCTCGAAAAGTTTCTCGGTAGAAAACGATTGAAGTTGTTTTTTATTGGCTTATGGCATCTTCGGATCCATATATTTCTAGCTTCAGAAAAATTGCTCCGAAAAAGAGCAAATCTTTGTCCCGCGAAGCAATAAAACTGTTGCTATCTTTTGATGGTTTCCCATGCTCTGCTAATGATACAACGAGCAAATCCAGTGACGGAGATTATTTAATATATGTATAGGTATTAAATAATATCATATAAATGTAATTATAATAAACTAAATTAAGCTATTCCATAAAAAGATGTTTTATTTACATTTTAAAAAGAACCTCTTACGGGTTTTTAATTAATTTCGACAATTTTTTGATAAAAATGTCCGCCACTTGAGGTCCATTATTTTGAATTTTGGAATTCTGATTTCAGATTCATTATCAGCGACAACAAAAACCCCTGTATGGTGATTTTCAATTTATTCCGTCAATTTTTTGACAAATATGTCCGCCATTTTGGATTTACAATTTTGAATTTTGAAATTCTGATTCCATATTTATTACCAGCGACCACAAAAACCCATGTATGGTGATTTTCAATTTATTCCGTCAATTTTTTGGCAAATATGTCCGCCATTTTGGATATACCATTTTGAATTTTAAAATTCTGATTACAGATTCGTTATCAGCTACCCCAAAAACCCCTGTATGGTGATTTTCAATTTATTTCCTCAATTTTTTGACAAATATGTTCGCCATTTTGGATCTACCATTTTGAATTTTGATATTCTGATTCCAGATTTGTTATCAGCGACCCCAAAAACTTCTATATACGGATTTTTAGGAGAATCCCACTATTTCTTGATATTTTGCCAAAAATTTCGAGAATTGAAACACTGTGCGTCGGGGGATTCCTGAAGGATCGAGAGTGGTGTAGAACAAGGTTCTAAAAGGTCACGTACGCTGTATATAGTCCCATCGAAGAGTCAAGTACTAAGTTAAGCTTTGGTACTCGCGGCGAAATAAATTAAATAAACGTGGAAATAAATAGACTTTTGTACAATAGTGATATACAGTGCTTGCAAATCCAAGTCCGACCGCGTTGGGAAGGATGGTTGTTCAATACTCGCGTGAAAAGAATAAGGATAGAATGCCAAACAACATTTGATTGGTCAGGGCGTCAGGCGTGCGTATTGTAAGCGCCTTCTGTTTGGCGTTCTATCCTTGTTATTTTCACGCGTCCTTCCCAAACCGGTCGGACTTGGATTTGCAAGCACTGTATAAATACTTAGTAGTTAAGTGATTGGTTAGTTTTATACCTTTTTAGTGTTTTATTTTATTTACATTGTTGAACCATAAAAACGTTACAATTACTTCCACAAACTATATTTTGGTTTAATTGAAAATTGGTATAATTAATGCATTGCAATTGACCGATTGGCCTTGCCCACAATGGATACTAACTACCTGGCATTATGCATAATGCCTAAAGTTCTTAGTTATTATGCATAATACCTAAGAACTTTAGGTTTTACCCATAATTCCTAAAATGCTTAGTTATTATGCATAATGACTTTTTTGGATATTGGCGGTAACATAAGTATATACGTTTTAGTGTTAATACTTAAAAATATTTATACGATTTTTAAACAAACTTTACAAAAAAATGTTGACACATTAAACAGATTATAAAAAGATTTTTTTGCAATTTATTTAATTCAAATTATTAAAATCTTATAACGAAACCAGTAACCTGGCAAAATTTAGAGTTGGGTTGGATAAAGATAGATCTTTAAATGACTCGCAATCGAATTCTGAATAACTTTTTTACCGTTGTCTATGATAATTTCTTTTTCCCAAATACCGGTGTCTCTGAAACCGCAGAAACTCAAAATGTTTAGTAAAGTCCATTTATTTTTCGATTTTTCCCTTCAGGAAAGGTTGATTCTAAACCGTTATTTATTTCTTATTATAGTATAGTATAAAAGATCTAATCCGTAAAATACTTTTTAAAATTTAAAAAAAAAAAGGTTTAACCCCTTTAGAATGCAGTTTAATGTACGTTTAACGGTTAAATTATAAAATAAATAAATAATTTAGGGAAAGTTTACAAAAAAAAACGATTACAAACGATTTAAAATCAATCCGTCAAAACAAAATATCAAAATATCTTCTTCATCTTCTTCTGCGATTGATATAAAAACGATAATTATTACCAAACCGTAACTGCTACGAGTTATGTATAAATTGGACAATAAGGGACTTGGCGTTTGATTAAATTTTTTCGAGTAGCTAGGAAGGGCAGCTGCATTCAAAAATGAAAATGTTCACTAAAGGAAGTACAATAGTTTTAGGTAGAAATCAATAAAAAATTGTACCCTCTTAACAACCAGATTGCCCCCTGCGGCGCAAGAAAAGCTGCCTTTTGATTAAAGAATACTATTCACAGTATTCCTCAATCAAATATAGTGAATAGTAAGGCAATCTCGTATGTTGTCTATGACGACAAAAGCTGGTTTGGTTTAGCGAAAACATTTTATATAGTCTAATATTTTATTACATTTTTAATTTTATAAGAAAATATGGGATATTTAGTGCATAATTAAGCTTCATAAAAAAATAATAAAAGACCATGTAAGTTAGGTTAGGTTTATTCTATTTAAACAAACATGTTTAAAATGCTTTTCAATTCATAACAATACCTAAAGTAATTTAGTAATTACTATGCATTGAAAAGCATGTTAAACATTTTTGTTTAAATAGAATAAACCTAACTTAACTTACTTGGTATTTTATTAGTTTTTTAATTTATTATATTATACCAACCTCTTATATTTATAAATTACAAACTAAAATTAATAGACATTTATCAAATAAAACATTTAAATAATTTTTATTAAAAAGTCATTACATACATTTTATAACAAAAAACCTAAAATCATGATACCTAATATATTATATTTTTAAAAAGATTAATACAACCTTACACGGAAAACCAATAAAAAACTTTTGATATGTCTTTATCTAAAAAGTTCAACATTCGGTTCATACATCTTTTGTCAAGTTTTAACTCTCCTATTTCAAGTATTCTGTCCAATAGATCACAATTTACATTGTCCCTTATTTCAGTGACCTTTGAAATTCATTCTTTCTTTTACATAGCGCCATTCTGTTACACATTTATCACTCTCCATTGACAACGACAAATGAAACATGTAGAAATATATCTGTGGTAATAACATTTGTTTTATTAAGTTTTGATATATTTGGTTTATTATTTAAAAAGGCCCAAATATTCCTCATTAGGGCGAAGCGATAAAAAACTTTTTTGAAATTTGTTATCCCTGGGTGTGGATGAGTTGTCTTTTTAGGTTATATTTAAAAAATTGGCATTGTGCAATGACATCTTGAGGTTCCTTTTTAAAATTAACGTTTTTTTCCAATTTCGTGTATCCCTGGGTGCCCAATGGGTACATATTTAAGTTTAAATTAACACACAAAAAATCAGTTTTAAGTAAATAAAACTACAGGTTTCTTTTTTAATTTAAAATTTTAATGAAAAACACATATTTTAAATTATGTTTATACTCTAACACCAAACTAAGATTAAATAAATAACTAAACTATTACTAATACCGCAAGTTTTTCTCGTGTCGAAACAAGTCGTAACTGGTTATTATATATATTGTATATTAGGGTGGTTGTTAAAAATTAAATTTTTTTGCGACCCCCCTAAAAAGCTTCGTTTTGATGAAAAATCACTTTTAATTAAAAACAACACGTGCCTCGAGACGATCTAAGTTAATTTTTTGGTATAATCATGTCTTTCTGAAAATATGGAATAATAACTTTTTTGAGATTCCCAACTCAAAATCTTGTTGAAAATGTTTAAAAAAAAATCCCTGAAAATTTGAGCCCTTAATATTAACTCAAAGTACTCTACCAAAGTGTATAAAGATTTCCCATTTAAAATACACGTAAACTTTGAATATTTTTTTAGCCGCATTTTATTCTAAAAGGGATTTACTCGTAATCAAAAGTTCTACAAAAATGCTTTATGT